CCATCTACGTCCTGAGGACCTCGCTGCCACCGTCCAAGCGTGCTTGGCCCCGGCAGATGAACCTCAGGATTAAAGGGTGGGCTCAGTTCCGCGCACACTGTGTCTCACCTAAAAAATCCAATGCGCAGGCTGGAAGGTGGAAAGACCTTCCCCGGTTCTTCGTTCGCGAAGAGACTGGCCATTACATTTGGGGTTTGGAGGAGTAGTCTGCCAGTGTGCCTCGGCTGAGAGGCAGCAGCTAGGCGTGTGCATGCATGTGTATGTGTATGTGTGCTCATGGCCTGCTGTGGACACAAGATGAAGTGGCAGCCTGGACTGTAGTGGAAGAAATCATGCTTCTCTCTTTAAATGGTTTTCACCTCAGAGCTGCAGCCGGTGAAATCCCAGTTAGCCTACCACAGCTGAAGCACAAAAGCTCATTACACTGGTGGTAATTCACTCAAAGGCATCTGAGCCCACAGGTGCATTTTGTGCCTCTTTTTATACATGTTGCTCTGACCTTCTCTCTTGTCTTGTTCAAGACTTCTGCAGTAGAGGCTTGGTGGCCAAATGGACATGGAAAGCAAACTGGATACAACATGAAAACAACTTTTATCATGGAGGCAGGATACCAGATTGAGAAATTTTCAAAGGTGAGGCCTTCTGCTTAATTACATCTGACATTGCACTGTTATGGCCAGGACATCTGCTCTGCATAGCAGAGCTCTTAAATATTTTGTTGCATTGTAATATGCATGTGAAAAAGCTAATGAGAAATAAGGTTTTTTTCATGTCATAATGTATGGTACCTGTTAACCTATTTCTCGTAATCTGAGCTTGTATGAATGTCTTTACTTGTATTGAGAGTGGAAGATGGCTTACAGTTAGCTGGAAATCTCAGAAAAGAGATATACTTAATATCCTGTGCTGTTGGCTTTGTATCATGCACTGAAAAATCCTTTTAGATTTCTATAAATTGCGTGAAGGTTTGTTACTGAGATTTTTTTTATTAATTAAGTTTTTAAAAAAGTTATGGGATAGACACACTTCTAAAAGCTTAATGTACATTCATTTATTAGAATGTTGGTAGATGTGCTTCATGTTTAAGAAGAGGTAAATCTTAAATATGACCATGAAGGTAATTTTTGGGGATATTTGCATAGGAATTCCTGTAATACACTGGCTATTTAATTATCTGTTTGGTTTTGCTAAGAACACTAGAAAGGTAATTTCTGCTTGTCCATTAAAAAGAAGAATCATAGGGATTAGGCTGGGCTCCTTATGCCATCAACATGTGGAAATAACTAAGTAAATTTATGCATTTATTAGGTGGTTCTGATGTATATTGCTTCACTAAAAATTAATCTGGTCCCCAGGCATCTAAAACTGCTATTTGCTGTAACATTTGTTCATGTGACAAAACCCTATGAAAAAACAATAGCTTCTGGAGTCCCAGTCATTATAGGACTAGCCCTTAGTTTGATTATGAAGTCATAATAATAATTCTTTGCTATTATTAGGGATACAATTTTGAAACAATTAAGCACATTATATTATTCTTGGAAAAACTAGTTATGGGAAATACAGCTATAAAGCCTGTAAAAAGGAAAATTCTGTTGTTACCGTGTGAAAAATGCACAACGATAGGAAAGCTAATCAGTTCCATTTGCGTGGTTGTGTCAGAGTATTTCCTAGAGCTCTGTGGCATGTGATCGTAGGGACTTCATGGTCTTCCAGAGATATTCAGAAGCCTTTTCTTTTTTTTCTCCTTAAGGGAAAAGAGGGGAGAAGGAAGCAAATGCACCACATAGTGTGCATTATAAATCAACCAGCCTTTAAAGCTTTATATTGTTAAGTCTAGTCCTCCTTAATGTGTTTTGTGAATCTCTGTCTTGGATTCTGACAGATGCACCAGCACACCATCACCCCCACCCAGAGCTGTATGAG